GATCTTTGACCTATGATTGCCAGTGCTGTAAATGATATCGTTTAGATGCGATTGTTATCTTACAAGTGGTTTATTTTTGTGTTATGAAACTCAGAATGTTGCAGTTAGCACTGCTTGATTTGCTTTGTTATCAAGGTTTATGTGAAACTCAAAAAAAAAAAAAAAGAAATCACATTGGTGAGAATTGTGATTTAAATATATACATGTTTAGTGTGGGGGATATGTTTGTTTCTTAAATTATTACTCCGTATTATTGTGCACCGTGAGAGTTAGTGTCACTTGGTAATAGCTTTGCTTTATGTTATCATTTGGGAGCATGTGGTTTGATTTTTATCACCAGCCGTGTCTACTTTGTTTCGGTTTGGACAAGATGAAGAAAGTGAGCTTTCATGATAAATATGTATTTCATTTACATTTTTTAATATTTGATTATTTGTTATTATTATAATTTAATTTTACGAGTCTAGTATATACAATGGTAGGAGGCTGTTTTGAACAGTGTTCCCGCCCAAAATTAATGGGTCAAGTCACTGCAAAATGGGCTGGTGTTATTTGGGCTGCTTCAAGTGGGCCGATTATGGGTATTTTCCAAGGCCAACTATAAAAGTTGTTCCCTTTATGTCCAATCAGCATTTATTGAAGGGATTTTTAAAAATCTTTTTTTGATTTTTTAGAGACCCATGAGTCTTTCCCATTAATGAGGTGTCTTGGAAAAGGCCACACACATCATGCTTTTTATTTGCAGAGGCACAGTTTTTTAAACCATTTGCAGATGGTATTTATTACAAAGTTTTAAGAAATCTTAAAGTTTTATTTTGCAGAGACACATGCATCAATTAATAATTATAACATCGAAGCCAACTGTCTTCCATATGCAATAGTTCAATTCCCTGACTTTATATAGAGCATTGAGTGGCCCATCACATTATTCCATGTAGCTTTATTTTATTGAGTAGATTTTCAAATCTATGTTTTCTTAAAATTGATTTTAAAATGTTTTATTAAAATGTATAAACCTACCCCTTATGTAGTATAAATAAACCACAACTCCAAGGCAAACAACAAAAGAAGCACCCCAACGTCCCAAATTGAGGAGGTATTATTTTTGCATTAATCAAATTACATTTTTGAAATCTTTTGTTTCTTGAAAAACTAAGACGACAAAAGTCATTTTATTTTTGGATCTATTCTTAAATAGAGATGAAAAATGAAAATACTGGTCAAAACCACCTCTTATTTTTAATATGAAAATGGTGCATACAAATAAAAAACTATCACACGAGAAAAACTTCCTTAATTTCTTCTAAATAACTAAAATCATTGTCAAGTGCACCATAATTGTGTGATTAACCATTAAAAATGTGAAAGAAAGTGATGAAAAAATAAAAAAAAGGGAATGATTTTTTTTAAAATGAAAAAAAATTGCAGACAACATATTATTCATTTTAAAACATAAAAATAAATCTCTTGCACCACAAGAAATGCATAATCATAAAAAAAGAAGTAAAATATTACAAAGAGTTCAATAGTAAAAATTATTCATAATTGATTTTTATATAAGAAAAATGGTTTACAAATTTAAAAGAAAAAAGAAAAAAATCATCAATACTCAAATTAGGTGCATGACAACTATTGCACATTAAGTAGGTGCATGATTAAAAAAGAAATACGGAGTAAATAAGAGAACTATTAATACTTCTAGAGTTAGAGCACTGGAAATACATATGAAGCCCCGGGGCTTCAAACTTTCTCTCTCTGCCACGTCAGCTTTAACTTACACCCAAAATTCACTGGAAATGGTTTTGAAGCCCCGGGGCTTCAAACTGGGGCTTCAAGCCTTCATTTTTTACATTTTTAAATATACATCTTCTAAATTTAAATTTATAAATTTAAATTAATTTATTATTTTAATTAATCGCAATGACACTATTGCATAAAAAAAATTAAATTCATTATAAAAAAATCTTACAATCATAAAAAAAAACATTAAAAAAAATTACATAAAAAAACAACAGTACAAAGAAATCACTAATTATTCGAACGACTAAAGATATGCTCGATCAAATCCGCCGTTAGTGCATTGTGAATCTCTCGGCTTCGAATTTCTTGGCGGTTGCGTCGCTTCTTTTCTTCGGTGATTTCTTTGTACATAGGCACCTCCTCGTCCGGGTTGTATTGACAAATCGCAGACCCGTTATCCTCTATGATCATATTATGAAGAATAATACATGCGTACATGATATTCCTCATTTTTGTCTGAGAATAACATTTCGACGGAAGATCTAGAATGTGCCACTTAGCCTTCAAGACCCCAAAGGCTCGTTCAATATCTTTTCTCGCCGCCTCTTAAGCTTTTTTGTAGGTTTGGCGTTTAAGACCCATTGGTTCGGAGAGAGATTTGACAATCGTGGAATAATCCGGATATATTCCATCAGCCAAATAATATCCACGCTTGTAAAGCGTCCCTCTAAGCTCAAAAGAGGAGTCCGGTGCGGTCTCATTAACCCAATCATCAAAAACAGGGGATTGATCGAGAACGTTGATGTCATTGTTCGAGCCCGCGACACCGAAAAAAGCATGCCAAAATCCACAAGTCATTCGAAGCAACAACTTCGAGCATGATGGTAGGCTTGGGATGATCTCCCCGGGAGAATTGACCGTGCCACGCAGTGGGACAATTTTTCCATTCCCAATGCGTGCAATCAATACTCCCAAGCATGCCGACAAAGCCGTGTTTTGCGGCATGCCTCGCCTGCAACTGCTGGATGTCGCTCGCTGTAGGCTTGCGTAAATATCTTTTATAATAAATTTGAATAATAGCCTTTGAAAATTTATAAACACAGGACCTGATGCTCCGAGCAGACATCTTTAAGTATTCGTCGGCCTCTCGCATCAAACCGTTGGTTGAACCAAGGAACTTCGCGTTCAACATCGGCGAGTATGCGTAAGAACAGAGGACGACTCATCCGAAAACGATTACTAAAATCCGCCAGTGTATAAACACACGGATTATTAAAGTAGTCGTTTAGAAGTGAATCGTGGGCGGCCGCTCGATCCCGGTTAAGACGTTGGCGTCGGGTCCGTCGTCGGGAGGATTCGGCTTCTTCTTGGCCATCTTCCCACCATTGAATACAATTCATCGCGAAACAACGAAAAAATAAAGCTCTTCTTTCATCGTCGGAAGATGAACCCATTTTTAAATTATATTTATAAATATTTATAATAAGTAATAATTTTTTGAGAGAATATATAGTAATAAAGAGAGATTTGTTAGAGAGAGGTGTGAGGAAGATGTATGAGAAGGGGGGATTTTATAGGTTTTTTTTAAAATTTAAATTTTTTTTTAATTGGGGGGGGGGGGGGGGGAA